TAAAAAAAAAAAAAAAGAAGAAGTCGCTGGATAAAGAGAGGTCACCGGTAGCATGTTCTGGCCTCAGGTCCCCAAAAGTCTGATGGCCAAGTCCCCTCCCTGATCTCAACACAAGAAAACTAGAACCAAATTGTAAAAGTATAAGCTAAACACGAGTTTTATTTACAGTTACAGCATTCAGTGCTGCAAAAGAGTTTAGGGAACTAGCCTGTATGTTTTGTTGCTCTGAAAGGGATTTCATTTTTTTCTGTCTGACCGTGAGAGTCTTTGCTGGTGGTGAAAAGAAAGTAGAGATGAAACCTCAGGGACATATCAATGGATTAATCATACTCCTGATCTCACAACCTCTTATTGTTCTGTACATGATTCCCTTTTAGTTTAAGTATTCTTTATTTGTCCATTTCAGTACACTAATGACTACATGTGAACCCACCCAAGAACTAGGTCACTGCTGATAACTCCTATCTCCTCTAGGCTCCTCACCTGTCTCATCCTTCCATCTCAGAGGTAACCACTGTCCTGAATGTTGTGTCTCCCGATTGCCAGTTTTCAGGTGCATTAACATTTGTATGCCTCGCTAAATGATGCATTGTTCGCTTTGAGTTGTTTTTGAAATTCATAGGAGGGGTATGTCAGCTTCTGAGACTTGCTTTCCTGACTCCAGAACAGCTAAAAAGATTGCATTGCCATGTCGTTACACCTACTGTTATTTTATTTATTTTCACTATCGCATGATACTCCACCGTCTGGATAGACCATCATGTATTCACTCATTCCCCTCTCAAGGGCATTCGGGTTGTTTCAGCTTTTTGCTCCTGAGAAGAGAGCTCCCAAGAAATTCTCATGCAAGTACATGAGTTAAATTTTGCCTTGGGTATATATAACCAGGAGTGCAATGACTGATTCATAGGGTATAGGAATGCTCAAATTTGCAAGAGGATGCCAGATCGTTTTCCAAAATTACTGTTGCAAACCCCCCAGTGATCATAGGGGATCCCATTGATCCCCATCTCCTATATATGGTATTGTCAAAATTTTTGATTTTGCCAGTTGAATGACTATTGGATGAACGAATGACTCAATAATGGGGAAACTAGATTGTTCACAAAAAATCAGTTCATATGATCAATCAGTGACCTTTAGCTTTAAACAAATTAAATGTGCTTTAAAATGTTGCCAAGGGGTGCCTGGGTGGCTCAGTCGGTTAAGCTGCTGACTCTTGATTTCAGTTCAGGTCATGATCTCAAGGTCCTGGGATCAAGCCCCCAAGTGGGGCTCCCTGCTCAGTGGGGAGTCTGTTTCAGGATTCTCTCTCTCCCTCTATGCCTCCCCCTGTTTGTTCATGCCCCTCTCTCAGATAAAAAAATAAATCTTTAAAAAAATAAAAATAGAGGCACCTGGGTGGCTCAGTCGTTAAGCGTCTGCCTTCGGCTCAGTCATGGGGATCGAGCCCCGCATCCCGCTCCCTGCTCAGCGGGAAGCCTGCTTCTCCCTCTCCCACTCCCCCTGCTTGTGTTCCCTATCTCGCTGTGTCTCTCTCTGTCAAATAAATAAATAAAATCTTTTAAAATAAATAAATAAATAAATAAAAATAAAATGTTGCCAAGAAGAGAAAATGAAACATTTCAAGTAAAATGTTGCAAAAATCTTATAAAAACTAAAATCATTCAATCTGTTATAAATTGCCATAAAATATAAATAATTAAAAAACAAAAGATAGAAACTCCTTTTATAAGACACTTGTGTAATTTGCATCAAACCATAAATACATATTTTATGCTTTTTTTCCTTTAACAATATATTTCACAATTTAAAAGGGGATAAAATGGTCTTCGCTTTATATTATACCCTATACACAAACAAATTCAAATAGATTACAGATTTTAATTTAAAATCATGATGCCCATACATAAGCTGGAGGGAAACTTAAGCAAATAAAAATCTAAGGTGGGTGCTGAGTGGCTAGGAACTACTTTTTACAACATACAAATAAAGGTAAAAACCATGAGGAAAAAAGATTGATGGACTTTATTACATAAAAATGCAAAACTTTTTGTAGGTTTCAGTGTTAAATAAAGAAAATATAAAGGCAATCAACCATCTGGGGGAGATACATCAGTGATATAAAGGATCTATCTATCTTTTGTGAATTTGGGCTGAGAACGCGGAGGCCAGACTCAGAATCTGGTGACGTTCCTGCTGTTGGGACACTTGGAGGGATTAGATTATAAGAGTATATAGCAGCCTGGTAGATCTCATTTTAACCTCCAGAGCCTGGATAGTAACACAAGTGCCCTGTAGGGGACTGGCAGACTTTCTTGGGTCTCCCAATTCTGTTCTCTGAAACTGAAATGTCTGCATACTAAAATAAGGTAGGGGATCTACTAGATGTATGTGTTTGGTGGGGATGTGAGGGTACAATGAGTTTGAGAGTGACAAAGGTTAAAATTCTAGGAGGTGGGAGCTCCAGAGTTGCTACATACAAAAGTTTGGAAAGGTAGGTACAGTACAAAAGGCTTTTCCAGGGCTTTCACGAATATCGGGGTGGGGGTGAGGGGAGAAGTGGCAGGGAGAGCAGCTCCATATTACCAACGGAAGTTTACAAAGTTGAGATTTGTTAAGGAATTTCACGAAATGAACCAAATGTAACATTTTGTCAATTAGGAAAGCAACTGAATTAAATCCCATCACAAGCACATTTTATGCGGGTTGTGGGTGAATTTTGACCTGTTCAATGTGATATGGAGTGAGGTCTCCAAAAGCATTGTAAAGGGCTCTTGGCTGAGGAGAACCATTGGACCAAATCATAACACTGACTATATTCTTTCCAAGGAGACATACTCATCTCCGGCAGGATTCTAATCCACTCTATCCTGAAGATGTGGCCTCCTTTGAGTCCCATCAGGTTGATTAAATTAGCACTGAATTAAGTGTGAAGGGATAGGCCAAAGACCAGTGAAAGAATATAGATTTACCACTGTAGAGGTGTGAATACCAATACAATACCTCATTTTCCTGTCCACCTTTTCTTTCGTTAGATGTAATTTTCCCCCTTTGGTTCATACAGGTTTTTCAAGAAAAGCAGCCGTTCTGAAGCGGACCCAAGAGTGAGAAAATTTTGGTCAGTTACCAAAGATAAAGGTGGAGAAATTTGTTATATGTGAAAAGCACTGATGCTAATGATGTGGTTGAGTTAAATCGTATTTGTGTCTCTGGGGCTGCCCTTGATTTGCCAAAATCTTACTGCCATGGTATTTCTATAGATCACACAAAAATGTATTTATTCAACACATTTATTGAGTGCTTACTATGCCCAGGCTGGGGTTCTAAGAGCTGGGTATATGGCATGACTAAAAGAGAAAAATCCCTGTTCTCAGCTGTGGGGGGAAACAGAAAATTAAAAAAGTAAATATATACCATGTCAAATAGTAACAAATGCTTGGAAGAAAATAAAAAAGAGGAAGAGATAGAATGATGGCCATCCTGTTTGGATAAAGTCGCCCTAGGAAGACGTTCCTGACAAGATGATGATCTATTTAAACCACCTTCTGCAAGGATTGGGTGTATGTATTTAGGAAGCCCCTGGCAAACTGCCCCATCATGGCTGTGTGATCTTGTTGTCAGTGACTAACTTCTCTGAGCCCAAGCCAGTAAAAATCCAGAGAGGATGAGGAAAATGCACTGTAAATTACAGTGATTATTACACTTTATGAATGCAATTTTGTATAGTATGAATTTCATGGATGTTATAATAACTTCCCCATGCCCCCCAAGGAAAAAATAAGCTCCAATCCACTGGGGGGCGGGGGGGTCTTGGCACAGTTCCCTTCGTTTACAATTAGGAATGGGATTTCGGACCCCGCTACAAAGCAGGCATTCCCCTGATTCTGCGAATTCAGAAAGTTCTCGATTGCTAGCTTCCGTTGCCTCATCTATAAATCCGAGATAATGGTCGTGCTGACCACTTAGGGTTTTGTTTTTTGTTTTTTGTGGGGTTTTTTGATGTTAAAAAGACATTTATTGAGCTACATGTGAGACACATTGAACCATATGCCAGGCATAGTCCTAAAAAATGGAAAAATATTCATTCATTTAATCCATAACAACCCCGTAGACCGAGTGCAATTTTAAACTGCACTTTACAGCCAAGGAAACTGAGGCACGGAGGAGTTAAATCTTGACCCCCGCAGCTAGGGTTCCAACCACGACAACTGGGCTCCAGAGACTGGCAGTGCTACAAAGGGCTCAGCCCTGTGCCTAGCACATAGTAAGGACTCAATAAATCTTTATAGCGGTGGTTTTGTCAGTTCTCGCCAGGGGACTGCTCCAGAATTTCCACTTAGGAAGAGCTGAAGGTAGCCGGTTTGTTGGAAGAGGAGGCTAGGGGGAGCTTGCATAGCAACCATAGTTCACTGCATAGCAACTATAATGTTTACTTGAACTGCGGGAGTTGGTGGGGATTGCGGAGAAGGGGAGTTAGCCGGCCACCCCTAGGCACCCCACTTTGCCGCGGAGACTAACAAGCACCGTAGCAGCTGAAATCCGAGCTCCCCTCCACCCCTCTCCGGAGCCGCCGGGTGAGCCGGCCTTCTGTGCAGCGCCCCCTCCCTCTTGAGACAGATGGTTCCTTCCGTTCTCCGGGCTGGTTCAGGTTCCGCGCTCCGAGTCACAAAGCGCGGGGTCACGTGGGCGGGCCGGTGCGCTTTGTGACGCCACGGGCCCCGCCTCCCGGCCCGCCTATCCGCGCACGCCAGGCCCGCCTATCCGCGCACGCCAGCCCCGCCTCGCGCGCGCCGCCCGTGCAATCCCTGCTTAAGAGACCCCGGAGTGGGGCGCTCGCCCGAAGCCAGGCCGCGTCCGCCATAGTGCCTGGCTTGGAGGTGTCGCCGGCGCTGGGTGAGGGCCCGAGAGCGGCAGGGGGGCAAAACAAAAAGAGAGCCCCGAAGCCCTTGCCGTTGCCCGGCGGTTTCCGGGCCTCCTCTCGCGGTTCGGGGCCGAAAGGCGACGGGAGCGAAAGGCGAGAGAAGCGCGGAGCACACGGCGAGAGGAAGCGTCGGGGAGCCTCGGCGGCGTCCCCAGGGTCCGCCAAAGCCACCCGGCCGCTGGCTGGGGCCCGGGGTGGTGAGGAAGTGCTTCGAGGCCTAGTTGAGGCCTAGTACCGGCTTTGTGTCTGAGGCGGCGGCGGCGGCGGCGGCGGCGGGGGGGAGGCGGAGCCGGGGGCGGCCTGCGGGAAGGCCTCTCCTCCGCCGACCGCGCGTTTTTGGCCTAGGCCGCGGGCCGCTCGTGGCCTCCGGGGAGCAGGCGACAGGGGTTTGTGTGTGGGGGGGCCTGGGCCTGGGGAAGCTGACGCCGGTCGTCCGGAAGCCAGGAGGAGGCGAGAGGCCGCTCGTGGACTCCGGGCCTAGGCCCTCTCCCCCAACCTTCTCCCGGGGCCTGGGTCACCCCAATCCACGGAAAGAGAGACCAACCGGGAGGTGCGGCCGCGCTATGGACCCCTGACCCCGCGGGGTCATTCGGACTCTAACGTGTGGACTGACCGCTACTGACTGCACCGCCTGCCCCCCGTCTCCTGCCGGCCCTTAGCATGAGCGAGGGGGACCCAGCCGGGTGACATTGTGCCCGTTGGCGGATTCTCGATTTCCCCTTTCCCCGTCCTCGTCCGCTTCCTCCCGTATGAAGTGCTTCTGAGTATCGGGGGGGACGGGGGGGGTTCTGGATTATTGTTTTTACGAACCCCTGCTTGTGGTTGGGGGGGTATTTAATCTGAGGCCTTAGGGTCCTTCGGTGTCTTTTGAGTGTTTTGTGTGTGTACATATTTTGCTCTTGAGTTTATAAATATACATATATTGAGAGTGTCCACGTCTCCTCGCTGAACCTTAGGAATCCTTTGGCACCATGTCCTGTGTGCATTATAAATTTTCCTCTAAACTCAACTATGATACCGTCACCTTTGATGGGCTCCACATCTCCCTCTGCGATTTAAAGAAGCAGATTATGGGGAGAGAAAAGTTGAAAGCTGCCGACTGCGACCTGCAGATCACCAACGCGCAGACGAAAGAAGGTAAGGGCCACCTGGGCTCCAGATATTTGCTGGTTGAAGATAGATACTAGTTGTGCTAGATACTGGTTGCCTGGCAGAAGGCTAACCGCCATTACGTCTCTTGTGGGACTGTTCATTCTAATACTTTTGATACAACTTTTATTGAGACCCCAGGGTTGCAGCGGTCGGCCTGGGAGCTTAACTGGTTTATTTGATGTCTGCGTACGTGGGATCATCGGTAACAGGCTAGTCTGAAAACGTGGAAGTCTGATTATTCTTCTCAAATGTTATTTAAAATGAAGATTTCAGTGGGAGACGGTGAGGGGTGTTATCCAGGTTCTTGGTGTTCTTGCCTTGTGGCGTTTTCGAGCTTGTTTTTTATCAGAAGGAGGGGAGGAGAGCATATGGAGGCTTCTTACATGTTAAAGCAGCAGTAGAGATACCTCTCTTAACTTTCTAACCTGACAACGGTGTGGGGTTCATTGGCAGGTTTTATGTACTCCTTTTCTTCCTGTCCTTGTGTACTTATTTTATTTTTATTTTGGAGTTGCCTGTGTTTTGGAGAAGGGATCCTCACTTAAGTATTTTTTAAGGATTTAATCCAGCCAGTCTTTAATGTTGGAATTGCTTTTGGAACCTGATGTGTTCTGATGTCACCACTTTTGTGTGTAAATTCCAGAATTAGTAATAAATTAAGTGGTTGAGTTTTCAGTTCATCATATTACTCTTAAAATTTAGTAGCAATTTAGTAAAGATCAAAAGTAAAGGCTTTTCTTTTAAAGTAGTAATTGCTAGACTTTACATGATTATGTTGTTAACTAGGATATGGAGAAGAGTAGGCTGCTACCACATGAGTTTGAAAGATGCCACTGATAGGAATCTTTAAGTTCTTTCTCCTTTTTAAAAGCATTTTATAATGTTGAAAATTTAACGTTAGATGTGACAGTGTGATAAACAGTTTCTTCAGATTCTGGTTCTGCACTTGTTTTGGTTTCTTTTTCTCGGTGTTGTAATGCTGATGTGTAGTTTTCAGTAGGTCAGTCTGGGATGAGAAGAAATTAAGAACTCATTAGCTTAGGGTATTTTATCGATCACTTAAATTTGGCTTAAGGTGTGACTTGGGTTCTTTAGTTGAAATTGGGGGAGTCCCTCACTTGTAGCCTATTTGGGGTTTGGGGTTTTGTGGGGGTTTTTTTGTGTTGTTTTTTTTTTAAGATTTTATTTTTAAGTAATCTCTACACCCAACGTGGGGCTTGAACTCACAACCTCAAGACCAAGAGTCGCAAGCTCTACCAACTGAGCCAGCCAGCGCCCTTAGTCTGTAGTTTTTAATAGAGTAAATCTTGTCATGTAAAAGAGCTGTTTCCCATTTACATCCAGATATAAGTATAATTGTATTATGTTAAGGAATGGCACTACTGGCATGACTCAAAAATATTCATTAAGAAAGAACTTTACTCACATGGTAACATGGGAAAAAATATTCTCTGCTGCCCCCACCCCCTTTTAAAATGTTATACCTAAGGGATACCTCACGTGAAGCTTTGGTGATTGTAATTATGTGTAGAATACTTACGAAAAGGAAAAATTGCTGGTCATCTTGAACAGTTGAGAAACAGCTTTTTAAACTAGCATTCAAAAAAATACCTTAGGGGCGCCTGGGTGGCTCAGGTCGTTAAGCGTCTGCCTTCGGCTTAGGTCATGATCCTAGGGTCCTGGGATCGAGTCCCGCATCGGGCTCCCTGCTAGGTGGGGAGACTGCTTCTCCCTCTGCCTCTGCCTCTCTCTCTCTGTGACTCTCATGAATGAATAAATAAATAAAACATTAAAAAAAAAAAATACCTTAAAGGAAATACTCTTGTCTTTAAGGCCGCCAAAAGTGTCCCTTAAGTATTGCAGCCACACTTCACAGGACAGATGGGTTTATAAGAATTTCAGGACATACTGATATGTTAATGATACTTACAAATGAGAGGAAGAAAATACAAATGAAAGTAAAGAATATTAAGGCAATTTTAGTCGTATACTCAGGCAGGTTTTACATTTTACTGGAATATTAAATGATTTTATCATAGACTTTGTGCATTTTCTCCACCTAATAATTGAATACAATTTTGTTAGATTGGAGTAAGTTACAGTTGGTGGAATTCTTGTCCAAAAATCTAAGAGTTTTGTGACATTGTGTTATTTTTTTTTCTTTTAAAGATTTTATTTATTTATTTGACAGAGAGAGAAATAGCGAGAGCAGGAACACAAGCAGGGGGAATGGGAGAGGGAGAAGCAGGCTTCTTGCCGAGGAGGGAGCCCGATGGGGGACTCGATCCCAGGACCCTGGGATCATGACCTGAGCCAAAGGCAGACGCTTAATGACTGAGCCACCCAGGCGCCCTGTTACTTTTTTTTTTATTTTCTAAGCCAGGAAATTCTGTGATGTATTATTTTTACAAACCCTAAAAGCTAGGGAAATGTTCTGCCCAGCAGCATATTTTCTTTTATATGTTTATGTCAACTGTCCTTATTGGAGAAAGCTTTGATGTTAGATTAAGAGAAGGAGCTTCTGGGGAGAGAATGTGCGTTTTGTGCAATCCTCAAATTAAGAGAGAAAAAAATAGCATTGATAGTAGCGCAGAGGATATTCACTTAATGAGTTTTATGGGAAATAGCGTCCAATGTCACAGGCAGCTGAGTAAGAATGGGCTGGGTTTTAGCACCATCCAGTGAATTAGAGAGTGCAAAATAAATGTTTATAGCCTCAGAGTTAGGAGATTGCTTAGGAGAAGATGCTGAACTGGATCACTTTAATTTGTTTGAATTAATGTTTAAATTACCCAGTATATCACATTTCTGTAAAACATTCCTTAGAGTTTTGGGAATCTGTCCATGTTTAGGACCCTTAAATCTTGATTAGACCAAAATGCTTGGATCAAAATTTCATGGTTTTTTTTTTTTTTTTTTTTCAAAATTTCATGTTTTAGATTTAAGAATCTTGCTCCTTTATTTCTAGACTGTCTTTCAAAACAAATCCCAAATGATCTTCCTATATTTTTTAATATAGCTTTTCCATATAAACTTGTTTTCCTACCTTTCAGCTTCCTCCCCCAAAATGTAACAAAATAAACCTTCATTCTGAACTTAAGTGTGAAAGATTTGAAAGCTGAGAATGAAGTATTTTTAAAAGACTCTTATCTTTTTCCATTTCTCAAATTCATCTTGTTTTTCATTCCAAAATCTATGGTCTTCGTATTTTTGGATCAGAAATCACACTGGCACCTGGAAAATGTCTTTTGAAGCTAACAGGCTACTTAGTAAGGTATCTTAAGGGTAGGAAGTCACCAGTGTAACTCAGGTACTTAAAAGGTCAATCAAAGCATCTGGTGTTGGGGCACGTGACTTTTAGTCTGACAGTACTGTGCTGATCAAATTAATAAGCTGTCTTGGAAAGCTACAGTGAATGCTTTTGAGAGTTGTTAACATATTCAGAAAGTCTGTCAAGTGCTTGACACCAAGTTTTGTTTCTAGAATTTATTTTTTGGGGCACCTGGGTGGCTCAGTCGTTAAGCGTCTGCCTTCGGCTCAGGTCATGATCCCAGGGTCCTGGGATCGAGCCCCACATCGCCCCACATTGGGCTCCCTGCTCCGCGGGCAGCCTGCTTCTCCCTCTCCCACTCCCCCTGCTTGTGTTCCCTCTCTCGCTGTGTCTTTCTCTCTCTGTCAAATAAATAAATAAAATCTTTAAAAAATAAAATAGAATTTATTTTTTGAACGTCTCCCATCTTCCAGTTTTTCTTACTCAGAGCTTGCTTGAAATTTGGAACTGTCATGAACTATCAAGATAATGATGATAGTCTCTAATGGTCTAGGAAATTGCATCTCTCTGATTGGATACCTGAGAGATACAGTCTACTACTTGAAATATACTGCAAAGAACCCTTTCTTGAACAATTTAGTTTGTAACAGGAAATAACTAATAATGTTATTAAAATTAAGAGAGTATATATAAGCTTAAAATGCTCACATGTGTGATAAATTGAAATAACTGGAAGAACAGAAGTAGTCAGCCACTGGGTGCTGAGTAACTTAAGTGAAGCAGGTAAACCCCATAATCTTAAAGAGTGAACCCTAATACCTGAATGGGGGAGATGGGTACATTCTCATGTCTATCTCCCTATTTTTGTTTTTAGTAATTTTACAAATTCTTTCCTCAGGAAAGCTTTTTACCCATAGTTAAGTTAATTGGTTCAGGTTCTCTTTTAATTTCATTCTTCCAGAAGTATTGCAAGTAATAGGGAGTTTAAAGAGTAGAAAAATAGGATCCATTCATCCTCCCTGTTTTCTTCTCAGTGACATCACTGTTCTTCCAGTTGGCTTAAGCCAGGAACCCAGTTTTTTATGCCTGATTGCTCTTTTTCCTTCATCTCCTCCCCCCCCCCATTAAATCCATTGATAGCCTTATCAGTTCTACCTCAAACATTCTGATTCTCTTCCTTTCTTCATCTGTCACATCCCAGCACAGACCATCATCTCTTACTGTGACTTCGCAGCAGCCTCCTTTTTGGTCACCCTCTTTCTGCTCTTGTTCCCCTCTGGATTCATTGTCTATATAGATACGGGAATTATCTTGTTTGTTATTAATGTAAACCAAATTGTCATCATTTTTGTTTAAAATCCTTCAGTGACTTCCTGTTGTTCTTAGAAACAAAATATAAATCAGTGTGTGATCTCTATCTTTCTGTAGTTCAAGTCATTCTTCCTTTCATTATCTTCCAGCTATTCTAGACTTTTTATGATTTTTTTTTTTCCACATGCTTTTCTTTCTATCTGAAACACCCTTTGTCCAGCTTTTTTGCACATCTGGCTGGTTTCTCAGTCTTTTAAGTCCCAAGTGTTCCTTAGAAGAGCCTTAAATCATTGTTCTCTCCAAAGTTGCACTAATTGTTTGTACTAATTGTTTTTACAAAACTCTTTTTTCTCTATTCAAAACATGTCATAATTTCTTTAGTCTGTCGTTTTTAGTAATACTCAGGTTGAGGGGCTAGGAGGGACAGAATGACTTCATTTTAAATAACAGCTTTTTCTCATAGTTTAGATGCTTAGCATTACTAGCTGAATAAACTAAAGAATGACTTAGTCTTACTGAGATTTGGGGTTCCACAAAAGTAGAAGCGCTAGAGCCAAGAACCTGGTGACCGTATTTGGTGTCTTTTGAAGAGAACTTCCTATGAGGACTTGCTTTCTTTTAACTTTGGATATTTGTTCTGACAATATCAGTAATCCAGATGCAAGGAACATGTAGTGATTAATGCTCTTTTAAATTTAAGTTCATTTTCCATAAATTTTATGTTTGGTTGAAGTTTTCTAATTCTTGAGGACTGACTTCTCTAAATCGCCAAATAGAAATTCAACTCTCTCTCTTTTTTACAGAATATACCGATGATAATGCTCTAATTCCTAAGAATTCATCCGTAATTGTTAGAAGAATTCCTATTGGAGGTGTTAAATCTACAAGCAAGACGTATGTTATGTAAGTTTTTTATCAAATCTCATGTATTTAAGTCCTCAAAATAGACTTTTTTGTTTCGTGAGAAAGAAGTATTTTAGAACTGAAGTCATTACCTTAATAAGTGTATCTTCTTAATCCTTAAAACTGTGAGAATGGGTTTGTTTTTTCCTGGTTTCTTCCCCCAGTTAACTTAATCTGTAGTTAGTACGAGCTATCAGGAAGAATTTTTTGCTATATTATATAAGTGTGTTAAGAGATTTGTCCTAAATATTTTGACGGCATCCAGAGTGTTCAGTAATGCTAACATTTGCTTCTCAATAAGGGGCTTTTGTTGGGAAGCTATAGAGTTTATAGGATTTATGGAATCAGGCTTAGGTTTGACTTCAGTAGCTGCTTCACACCAGTTGTGTGACTTTGGATAAGTTATCTAAAGCCTCAAAATAGATTTCTCAAAATAATATGGGGATATGAGTACTTAGCTCAAGAAGAGAGCTGGAGGAATTAAACAGTGCCTGGCCCATGGTAGACTCCCATTACTGAAGTAAGAACACAGCAGTATTTTAGCACCAGCCTAGAGTTTAAGGAATTCATGAAAGACGCAGGATTAAAACATATCTTTTAACTTTCCCTGCCTCCTCGCAATTTTAATGGTGTTAAAATTATAATAATGTGAAAGAGGTAATGATTTCCCCTTAGAAGTTAGGTAGCCTTATTTGAAATTTTGGCAAATTCTACTTTTGGCTAATGAAAAATTCTGGAATTTGCCAGTCCTAGGAAATGGAAATGTGTTCCTGGAATTGAGGTAAAATAGTTATTTCTTGGAGGTTTACCTCATATGGGCAAGTATTCATTCTAAAATTATTGTCATTAATTTGCTATAAAGTTATATTCCATGTCTTAGCATTTGGAGATCCTTTTGTGTAATATCTTGTATAGCAACAACTTAAAAACCTGCATACTTTCTTTTTCTTATAAAAACCAAGTGAATTAGGTGCTTTTAACTTTGTGTAATTGTAAGAAATTATAAGGGAATAATTAATTCCTAGAATTTAGTGTGAAATTATACTTTACTGATTGCTTTTTAAAAACAGTAAACATTCAGTTTTCAGTTGATTTTTTTTTTTTTTTGATACTAAGAAACTCATAGGGAGAGAATTACTTGAAGTACATGGGAAAATAAATTGCCTCTTAAAATTGTGTGTTAATTCACTATGTGTGAGATTTCCTTTGTAATCTGTTTGTCTCTTGCCTTGTAAAATGCCTCTGAGTTTATTGAGCAAGTACTATTAAACAAAAGCTTCATTTTTATCCCAGGACTTGCAAATCGCATGTAAATTTAGAAACTCCTTTCAGATGCGCACTAACATTTCTCTGTAGTCAGGATAGCATAAACTTCAACTAAGCATTTAAGCACTGTATTTAGCAACTCAACCCCTGTCCCCTTTCCTGTGAGGACTTTTAAAAGAATTTCTTCTTGGCCTTTATTTGTATGTACTTTAAAAAATCAATTTGTTCAGTTCTTCATAACCATCAGACTCGGTCTTTGAACTAATATACTGTCAGACTATATTGTGTTTTTCTGGAAGTTAGAATTCTTGTTTAATCTTTAGTCATTGTTTTGAGACTTATAAGAAGTTAAAGTAACTATCAACCTGTCTTTCTGGATTTGAAATTTAGTTTTTGGAGCACAGCCATTTCTCAGGGATCCAAATTATAAATGTTAACAGTGAGTGGTCTTCATTTAAGAAAATCTGATGTATGAAAATTTACATTTGTTACCTATTAAAAAACCGGAGAATAATGTAATTTGGTTGTAAAGTCTATTAAGAAATAGCTACAATGTTTCTTTTCCTTTCTTTCCTTTTTTTTTTTAGATTTTATTTATTTATTTGAGAGAGAGCACACACAGGGGGAGGGGGAGGGGCAGAGGGAGAAGCAGACTTCCCGCTGAGCAGGGAGCCTAATGGCAGGGCTGGATCCCAGGACCCTGGGCGAAAGGCAGAGGCTTAACCCACGGAGCCACCCAGGTGCCCAAGAAATAGCTACAATGTTTCTTTTTTTTTTTTTAAGATTTTATTTATTTATTTGAGAGAGAGAGAATGAGAGAGAGCAAGTACATGAGAGGGGGGAGGGTCAGAGGGAGAAGCAGACTCCCTGCTGAGCAGGGAGCCCGATGCGGGACTCGATCCAGGGACTCCAGGATCATGACCTGAGCCGAGCCGAAGGCAGTCACTCAACCAGCTGAGCCACCCAGGCGCCCCAGCTACAATGTTTCTTAACAAAAGATCTTCATACTACCTGTGAGAAAACATCTATTGTAAATGGCAGGTTACACCTATTCTAGAATTCCTTAGTACAGAATTTTATTTTATTTATTTTATTTGCCACAAATAGGTCTTAAACTATTTAAAGGTGGTAAAGATTAATCAAAGTAGTGTACTTATTATTACTTAGGAAATTGGTTGTTTTTAAATCTTTATACCAGAGGAAATTTGTGTTCATAAAGATAGGTGATTAGAGATATGTATTAAGATGTTTTAGCACAAAAATCCATAAATAGCTGCTCATAATTAATGTTATTTTCATTTTTGTTTATTTTTTAGAAGTCGAACTGAACCAGTGATGGGAACTTCAAAAGCAGTATGTAAAAACACAATCTCACACTTTTTCTACACATTGCTTTTACCTTGATAATGTAGCAGTGAAGTAAATCATTTAGAACTTAATATCCAACTGATCATAGTACATATTGTAAATAAAATGTATTTTGATGACAGCTCAGTTGAATATGGATATATGTGGCATAATTTGCACACTTACTTTGTAGAAATGGGTAATTTGTGCCCCCCAAAAAACACTGTTTCATATTAAATATGATAGCATCCTCCCTGTATGACACTGTGTTGTACAGTTAATGTATGATTCTTTTTAGCTCATGTAGGTTTTACACTAATGAACATGATGACATGTTCTACATCTGTCTGTCTATAGTTAGTATTTTGTATGTATGTACAGGCTGTTGTGTGCTTTTTGTTTCTTGCAATAAAAAAATGTTTGGAGTGTATATTTTGCCATTTTCACGTTGTATCACTTAGTTTTTGTTAGTTTTTTTTTCTGCCTGATTGATGGCTTTAAAAAATGCATTAGCAATGTGCAAAGCTAATGTTAAAGTTTGATGCTTTCTCCAAGTTCAGACACATACAGAAAAGAGCTTTCCAAAGACTTTTGATGCAGCTTTATTAGTTTTGTCTTATTTGGCAATTTCAAGCTTTTATTCTTTGTTTATATCTGTACTATAAAGTGAGACCGGAAATTGGGCCCCCATGAGTATATGAATGTCTCATTGATGATTTATACAATTGAGTACATTGTTTTTAAGTTTTAATACAAGGTCTTTCACTTCCAGCCTGCTTAGTTCTCCAAATTCAAATATTTCCCTCTTTCTCATAAAGATATTAAAATGCTGCATTAATTGTAAGCTAATTGAAAGCTGTAGCTCATCAAAGGTAACTCCCCTTAACCCGGGATAACATCTTAATTTTTATGATCACAGCTTAAGTATGACACCATGTTGACTTGGAGGTCTTAAGTAAAAGGCGGCAGTATTCCTAAGTTGTGGGGTGACACATCTGTTTCAGAGTGTAGGGCTGTAGTAATTGGGTTCTGTAAACTTGATGGTTCTCGAAACATTTTACTGCTCAGGCTTGATCTGTACACAATACAAGATGTCTGAAATCTTGATTTAGAATTCAAGGGTATTGCTTGCTGTTTCACTTTATCTTTTTAAATACTACTGATCTTTAATTGTGTATCAGGCATTTCACTAACCTTGGATCATTGCATCTTAAACATGATAATATAGAATATCTGAACTTTGGACTTGTTCTCTGAAGTATATGGCCTTTAGTTCTCATGGAACTAAATACGGTGATTCAAAGATCAAAACTTAGTGTTTTGGGGTTCCCCCCGCCGGGGATATATGGGGTTTTTTGGTTTTTTGGTTTTTTGTGTGTTTTTTTTGGGCTTTTTGGTTTTTTTGGTTTTTTTGTTTTGGTTTGGTTTTTTGGTTTTTAAAGCATAATGCTGTAAAAAACTGTCCAAGTTTCTGTTTTGCTGGTGATTGGTTTAAAACTGATTTTATGTATCCAAATGCTAGCACAAATTAGAGTGACTATCCTGGTGACTGTAGTAGTTAATGTAACACATTTTGTATAAAGTACTTCTATATAGTATTTAAACTAATTCAGATGAAGTTTTATTTCTTGAAAAGTTATTTCCTTTTTGTTTATTAGCATGTGTATAAACACAAATCACATGTTCATAAATAAAGTTAACATTCTTTTAGCCTTGTGTGTTCCCTGGCATGTCTGTATTACACTTACAAGAAGCAGTTTATTTTATGCTTATTTAGGTTTCTCTTTTCTTTTTTTTCTTTTTTTTCTTTTTTCCTTTTTTTTTTTTTTGATACTTTAAAAGTGGCTTTAATTTTTAGGTAGAATGTCTAAAATGGAGACATTAGATAATTTAATATCCCCATCATTTATTTGCTTGGGGTACAGTTGCTGGCGTTTAGGTTGAGAATATATTCATCAAGCATAATTAATGCCCATTTTACAAATCACCTGTTATTGTACACATTCACAAAAGTCAAGTAAGATAGAGCCACCAAACCAAATTTCTAAATTCTGATTAATAAAAGTAAATGTGTGTACATTTTTGGTAACCTAAGCCAATTGTGATCGAGGATGGCTATTTCTATCTATATTCCTGAGCTTTGTTTTATTTAGTCATCCTTCCATGTTGGTACTGCAAAGCTGGATGTTCTTCCTGCTTACTAAATACCAGAATTGCATTTTGTAGGATCCTTTAATTTCAAGCAAGGGTAGGTAGCATAAATTTCAGATTCTTTCTCCCAGAAGCAAGACCACAAATTAGATGTGGGGAAGTGGGTTAATTTTAATGATATCCAAAGTATGCATTGATTAGTTTTTTTTTAAGACTACTTTTTTTTTTACATGGTGCATTTTTTTAATCATTAGTATCTGAGAGTTAATACATGTATTGATGCTTAGGACATGTAAATTCCTAGTCATTTTTAAACCATTTCTTGTCAGTTTTCACTAATTTCTAGTACCTTGCTATATGCAGAAAATAATTGGATGCCTTTCTCAATTTGTGGTAAATTTTACTGCCTTGTGGATTTTAAGGTATTTAAGGTGCTAAAGTGATTGTTTGGTGGGAAAAAAAAGTGATGTAGTTGTCGAGTATCTGAACTTCATAGGATACTAAAGCAAGTTGGCAGAAAACTAAAAGGGCAAGAAAGCCTGGCATAAGAACCAAAAGACAGCTATATCTTAGGAATGGGAAGAACAAAAAATGTTAGTATTTTAGTTCCAGCTGTAAGAAAGTTAATATAGCTGCTTTCTTTTAAATGATCAGTATTAATATTCTAGATAGTAATGGATTTATTTTGAAGGGCTATTTTTGTTTCTTTGGTTAGAAACATAGATGATGCTTGACAGTAATTTGTTCAGTTCTTGTTATTTAGATTCAGGTAATTCCTAGCTAATGTAAACTGTAACCCTCTTCAAAATAGATGATCAGAATTTACTTGGATAAAAATAAGGTATTTGTGTACTTTTTTTCTTTAAGCTTTCCTTTGAGATTAGTTCTGTAATGAAAGAGCACTTAAAAGCTAGATGAGAATAAGAACACGTTGGTGGATTATACGGTTGTGTATTAGGAATGTGGAGTTGGTGCATTATGAACTCTGCCCCCCCTCAGTGGGGAGCTAAGAACCTTTTGTTTAAATAAGCATCCCAGTAATAATATCCATTAAACTAACTTTTAAAACCCTAAGATATTTATAAGGTGTATTCTAAATTTAGCCAACATTATTTTTATTTATTGAACTCCTACTGTGGTAGGCATTGTGCTAAGAACTTCATATTGAAACTGGTAACATTTCTATTTGGGACTCTCAGTCATGCTGCTTTTATTTTAATACTCTTAGTTCTCTGGAATATTTGAAAAATACCTGATGGAGACTCACTTTGTTGTTGTTGTTGTTGTTTTTCTTTGATCCAGACATTTCGTTACATCCTCTCCATTTTAAACAAGAGTTCTGACCAATAATGCATGAGAGATTTATAATCTGTTGAATAAGCAACCCAGTTACTACCTAGGACTAATAATGTTTTCATTTTGGAACACCTACAGGGAAATCATATCTTTAGAGTTATATGCTAAAGGGGTGTGTATGTACACATATACACACATATACACTTTAAAAAACTGATTAAAATAATTTCAGGGATCAAAGAATGAAAAAAATTTTAATATCACATTTGAAAATACATTTTTAAAATCCTTCTTACATCCTTCAATATATAATACTTGCTCGCTCCATTTGATTAAATTAACTTTCTTCACACATTAAAGTCCATCCTCTTATGATAGCCCTGTTTGCCTTTGCCCCAGGCTACCTTCGGTTTCCCTTTTTTTGGCTTAACATCTTTGCCCTGATAAAGCTGTGGTTTCTTTGGCAAAAAGCCATTCTTACTCTTTGTATGGGAGAATAAACAAACTTACTCAGAATGAACAGTACATGCTCAAAAATAGAGAAAAAAGTAGCAATTATTTGGGAGCTGTTTATTAAAGCAATTATCTGAGCCTTTAAAGAGCTGCTTGTTTTACAGTGTTATATAATGGCATTCCAGGAAAGTTAGATTTCTTACTCTCTCGTCTAGTATACATTGTCTTGAGCATTATCCGATTTAGAGACCATCAATAGACACGGGACTCTTTAATATTTAGTCACTGCTCTGAACACATTTTCTGTGATATATTTTTCTTTACCCTGTTGTTCTTTTTTTCATTGTAATTGAGTCCCCTTCAACTTTAGCCTTTTACTGTGTGTGAAATACGTAGAGAAGGGTAAAGCAGGGTGAGCTACAATTTCAGCTTTAAAACTGGAAATAACATTTTTTAGAAAACTTCTAAGAAAATGCCCAATATTTGAACATTAAGTGGCAGTAGGGACTAAATGATCACTTTCAGATGTTTTCAGTGTGGAACTTGAATGTGTGTTTAATTTTTTGTGAACAGATTGATGACTCTTCTGCGTCTATTTCTCTGGCCCAGCTTACAAAGGTATATATATATATATATATTCTTGAAAATATAAATCTTTTTCTAACATCGTATTTTTTTAATGTGGAACAATTGTTTGAAGAGGGGTTGGGGGAGGATGTATTTTGCGAAAACATTGTACACATTATTACTATCCTGTAAAGAGTAGTTGCCGTTTTGAGAAGATAGGGGGAGTATTTTGGCAGCCTCACCATAATGTTGGAGTGTTGTTCATCTTCAAGACAGAAGAAACACATGAAGCTACACTTACTTGGTTTTTTTTTCCCCTCATACATTTTGTTTAATTATACATTGGAAACTAACAAAGTTCTGGAGGAATTTCCTGGTTTTGGCTGTAAATTATGTGGACTTTCTTTAAGCAGCCAAAACAGAAGCTTTCCTTTACATGGACGATTGCATGGTTATTTCTTGAATATTTGAATTGATCCCATGAAGGTCAACATTTTAAATGTGTTACAATTGTTTCTTTATGCTATAGACTTGTAGTCTGTCTGCATTAGAAAAAGTTTTAAACAACCTAATTTGTTTGAACACAGACTACATGAATTGTGTAAATGTATAAAGCTGTTTGCAGGAATATACCAATGTGTATGTTTGGCAGAGGGGCAAATTGTTACCTCCTGAAATAATTGTATATGCCATGTTTTGCGATAAAATTGCTTGCATTTTCTGCTCAACAATGTGTACTTTTGTTTGGGAAAGCACTAGTGATGGATTTAAAACAATAGATGTAGCTTGCAAATCATGCCTTAAAAAAAAAAAGACATATATTACAGAATAGGCAGATTTTTGAGGACCAAGAAGGAAGTCTTCCAATTTTCCAAAAATTCTTTTTTCCCTACTATCGGAAATGTAAAACCAAACTTAAGTAACCAAGACTAATGAGTTGGATGGATTTTCCATTAGTGCTGTCCCTATCTTATCCTTGGCTTTGTTAGAGGTTGTGTCCTTTTCCCCTAGAATGTATCCCCCAAAAATGTCCTAGTAACAAATAAGCTTTTTAAGCTCTTGTTCCGGGAAAACTAAACATTAAAATTGATGATTCTAAGACACAAGTGGGCTGAAACCATCCTCTCTTACAATTTTCTAATGCAAAGTGGTCTAGCATAGTTAACCTCTTAAGCAGTTTATAGTTCATGGTTTTAATTCTTATGTGCTGTAAGGACCATATTTGAGTTTTGGTCTGTTCCTACCATTGTTTCTTTGTGGGAAGCAGTTGGGGAATTTTGGAGGTTTGGGGGATTTTTTTTTTTTTAACTATTTGTAAATTAATGTTTGGGTTCAAACAAATTAGTTGTTCAACATCTGTAATCCAGTTTTCTGTAAATGTTGCTGTTGTTCTAAGCTCTGTTAATGTTAAGCATTCTTTGTATATAAAATTACAATAAAATGTTAAAACTGGTTGCTTGTTTTGTGGATGAATGTAAAGATAAAACCCAGTGAATGGCTGATGTGAGTGCTAGATGCTTGAAGGTTAAAGTTATTAGGACTCACTCCCTTAGACCCTGCTTATATCTAGACTATTCTGTATATAATACCTTAAAGATGAATGAAGTTCATAAAACTTTGGAGAGTTGAATTTATGAGTGCTCAGTTGCATGTGCTTTGCACTTAATTTGAAACTGATGCTACTACTTAAAGAGCCTTCTGGCTTAATACCAGCTGCATAATATGTTCAGTTGTTCTACCCACAACCCTACCTCCAAGTTGTTAGTATTAAGTCTTTATGTTGTGACACTTGAATTATTTCTAAGATTTAAAATATCAAGTGTTTCTTTAATCTGTTTTTAACTCTTAGAGGAGTCATATGCAAATCTTAATGTAAGGTACAAACAGGGTCTAAGGTTTGAGTGCCCCCAGAACGACCTTCCTCAGCCCTGCAGACACCCAAACATCATGTAATGACCTAAGGAAACTCCCGGGGCCTCTTCTAGGTTATACATGTAAATAGTTTTCAGTTTTAGGTTTTATGCAAGATTAGATACTGCTCTTTACAGGATGAGTGGTGTTGTCTTTGGCTGTGTGGTCTTAAATGTGTTTCTAATGTGTGTGTCAAATAATTACCTGTTAAACAGACTGCCAATCTGGCTGAAGCCAATGCTTCTGAAGAAGATAAAATTAAAGCAATGATGTCGCAATCTGGCCATGAATACGACCCGATCAAGTAAGTCCATAAATGCTTCATACTAATAGGTACTTCGGGGTGGGTTCCCCCCCCCCAATCAAAAGCATTGTTTTTTTCAAGTTTTTGTGTACATGTAATTTTTTTTCCCTTTCAGTTACATGAAGAAACCTCTAGGTCCACCACCTCCATCTTACACCTGTTTTCGTTGTGGTAAACCTGGCCATTATATTAAGAATTGCCCAACAAATGGGGTAAGTCCAAAGTAAAAACCCTGGTACATTTTATTTTTCTTAATTATTTCTTAGTCATTGTGTTTTTCTTGGTGAATACTGCCTTCACTATGACAATGGCAAATGAGTAGAGGCTCTGGAGCCAAATTGCCAGGCTTCAGACCCTGGCTCTGCCACTTAATAGCTGGGTGAGCTTGAGCGAACTACTTGATTCTTCAGGTCTGTCGTTTCTTCTCTGTGAGACCGAGATGCTCATAGCAGTATTTCCCCTCACATGGCTATTGTGAGGATTAAATGAGATCATATGTGTAAAGCACTACAAATAATAGAAGCAGTTAATGAGCACTGTGTGTTAGTTCATATTAAATAAAGGTAACTGCTTTCTTTCTTCCTCCTTTCTCCTTTCCCCTCCGAATAGGATAAAAACTTTGAATCTGGTCCTAGGATTAAAAAGAGCACTGGTATTCCCAGAAGTTTTATGATGGAGGTGAAAGATCCTAACATGAAAGGTGCAATGCTTACCAACACTGGAAAATATGCAATACCGACTATAGATGCGTAAGTATGCGAGTTAGGTATGATCTGTGAGGCCGCCGTCTGGCCAGGCACCAGTACTCTCTGTAGTCTCAGGCTCGTAACGTGGCTATTTGAATTTCTTGTACGGAGCACTGTATAGCAAGACTGTTAGTCTCCGTGTGTTGCATTTCTTTGTGAAGAATGAGAGGCTGCAGTCTGCTCCATTAAATGCAAATTTAAAATGGATTTGGGGTTTTTTGTTATCACCGAGTGCCACTTCCCTTGTAGTCTTCTGATTTTTTCCTTTTTCTATCATACCCTGCTTTCTTCCTCATTCACATACATACTCCCATATAATCTTATATGCTATCTACATTTTTTTAAGTGAAGAAGACAAATATCTTAATCCTTTTGAGAAACAAAAGGCTTAAGCATAAACGTTCTACAAGATTTCAAGGCAAATATAAATGCCAAGAATAAATGAAAAACTGAGTCCTCTTGAATAAGTTCAGATATACTGTGTGAGTGTTAAGATTCTAAAATATGGTTTATTTTATAAGCCATTAGCTTAGAAGAGCTACAGTGCTGTATGCTACAGTTTCGTGCTTATTTTGAATGGGTTTTCAGATTTTACTTAATGAGTCAATTTTAATGAAATGGATAGATGTGAAAACCTAGTGGTATAGTTCAGCTAGGTAACTTCTCATTTTATCTGCTCTTATTGATACATCTAATATTTTCGGTTGCCCTGGGCAGCTGTGAACTCATGTAATAGAGAGCACAGTATTAATTGTCCCTTTGGACTGCATTCTCTAACCAGTCCTCCAGTGGATTATGAAGTGAGCACGTCCTCGGGACATACCTTGAGAAACATCAATTTAGAGAATAGCTGGCAATGTTCATAGTGACACAGCGAAAATGTGCAGAAGAACAGTTTTCCTCAGCTTCATGCTGTTGTGTTGAAGCTTAGTGAGCAGGTGAGGGTGATGGAGAAAGATGGCTATGCTATGGAAATGATACGGAACAGAGTGGTTTCAAGTATGCACTTTAGTAATAAGTACCTTGTTTCAGTTCACGGATAGGAATGAATGTTCTTCCAAACTCCCAACCCTGTTCCCTTGCTCAGTTTCACCCCCATCTATTTTTTATCCGTCACCATCCTGTGTTTTGTGGTTCATCTTAGACTAGTCTGTTGTTATGCTGTTTCTAATTCAGACATTTCATACATGCTTCCAAACAACTTAGGTTGAAATGGTTGATTTTTACAGACACAATTTAAGAGCAGACCGCTTCATCTTAATATAATATATACAAGTAAAAGTATTTAAATAGAAATTTGTGTTGGAAAAATTAACACCACCCTTGTGAACCCTAACTAATAATTAACTTCATTGCTTTTGAATGCTGAAATACAAAAGCCCATTTGTGCCAAACACACAGCAAATACTGGGGAAAATGGGAGCCCAAATATTTTAAATGAAACTTTCACCCTCTCCACTAACACCACTGATAAGCAACTCAGACTCTTCTTCTGTTTCTTTTTCTATCCTCTGTTCTCCTCTTTTTTTTTTTTTTTTTCTTTTCTCTCTTTTGGGCAGTGGGAGACTCCTCTTTCACAAATTGGGAACAATGGGGCATAAGCAAATTGATACTTATTTCTGGAATCGTGGTGATGTCTATGGAGCAACTGCAACACAAATAACACACCTAAGGTACCCTACTCCGTACAGCTGAGATTCTTTCATTTCCAGCGTTGAGATTGACACACTCTGTTCCTAAATGAGGTAGAAAGAATCTAGGAATTCCTGTGTTTCATAAATCTGCCTGATTACAGAGAAGATGGGGGTGTTCGAAATAGTGGTGACAAGTCTGAGAATAGTGTATTGTGTTTTTTTCTTTTTAATATATTAAATATACAACATTTCTGCAAAATGTACTTCAACCAAAAAAATGGACCCCATGGTGGAAGTGTTACTTTATATTTTTGTAACACATACTCTGATCACTTAAGTCATTAATATTTTAGTTGGCTATAAATAGATTAGTCTCTCTTTTAAAATACTGATTATAAGTAGACCACTGGTTTTGCAGTCTACTTCTAGCTACTGGTGTGGTTGGTAGTGTCCTATTTCCCTTGAGATATCCCCCTTGATTGTGTAATGTCAGCACCAATTTCTGTTTCCTGTGGTACGACATTCACTCTGGTACCTTCACACATTCTGGGACTGTTGGACTGTGGAGGGGAAATTTCGCTTGTTTGTTTTTCAAGTAATATGGTAGGATAGAGAAAATTGTGGCTAAGGTGTTGTCAGGTCTAAGTTCAAATCCTGTCTCTGCCACTTAAACATAATTTTGTGGCACCGAGTGTGTTCCTTTATTCTCCGGCCCTTAGTTCTAGAGTTGTGGATTCTTAAGATCCTGTTAGCCAGTTTTATAGTGTCTGTTTCTTTTTGTTATACTTGTTTAGGGTTTTGTTTTATGTCTTTTTGTTGTTTAGGGGGAGGATGTTCGTAATTACTTCCCTTATTTTGGAAGGTATTACACTTGTGTAAACAAATTTAGCATCGTACTGAATTATAAGTCCCCATTATGGCATAGTAGAACATGTGTGTATCTTGGAAATACTTTGCCTTCTTAACAGTGTTAAAACAGTAAAACCTTCTTTTACAGAGAAGCATATGCAATTGGGAAGAAAGAAAAACCACCTTTCTTACCAGAGGAGCCATCTTCTTCTTCAGAAGAAGATGATCCTATCCCAGATGAATTGTTGTGTCTCATCTGCAAAGATATTATGACTGATGCCGTTGTCATTCCCTGCTGTGGAAACAGTTATTGTGATGAATGTAAGAAACATTGAACCTTCAAAGACATAGATCTTAGAATATGTGTATTTACCTGGAAAGGCTCTAAGCAACATTATAGGTTTTAATAATGAAGTATAAAATGTCAATAATTGGTCAGTTCATCAGTGAGCATTTAATAGCAAGGACCGTCTTTGTCACTGCTTTTTTTTTTTTTTTTTTTTACAACAACCTCATTGTCCTGTTAATTATTAGTTAGAATGGACCACTTCTTATACCTTCATCAGGGTAGCTGTACTGAGGTTTTATGAAATGTAGGATTTTTGTTGCCTATACATTTTAAATGGGATGCAAAATTTTGAAAGCTTTTTGGGCCTTAGGTATTCTGGAAATATTTTTAAATGGTACTTAAATTACCCTTTCCTGGATTGTGAAAAATCGCTTATTCTAAACTTCCTAAGTTTGATTGAGAACTGCTCTCTGTAAAGATACTGCCCAGCATTTGATGTGTGGTGGCTTGTGACTTTTTTTTCTGATCATTTATATTAGCATTTGTTTTTTTCTGCCACTTATTCTAAATTTGCCCCTTCTTAACCCAGATGAAAATGACATCATCTGAAAATTTCACTGCTCAGTCCTGCTCTGGCCTTTTTCATTTCTAAACAAAGCTTTGGAATATAAATCTTTATTTTGGGGTCTCTTTAGTGAAGACCAAAGTCACAAAGAAGTCACTTAAGATTTGTTTCAGAGTACGTCTTAGATTTAAGAAACCACTTTTAACTGGATTTTTTACTGCACTGAAGCATGATCAGTGAATCTGTGATTTAGCGTTACTCCTGTGCGCTGTGCTGGAGGTGTCACTGCCCTTCCTGCCTGAATCACCCTTCTGGTCTTTATCCTGTACTTTTCTTAGGAGGCTTTTTTAAAAAGCCTGTTAGCCATGTAAAGTTTTATCTTTCTAGACGATATCTTATTTCTTTTGTTTTCCCCTATAATATTCCAACTACTAAACAAAGAGAATAGTATTTAGGAAAGAGTGCTTTTTCTCTTAGTTTAAATGTTTGTTGAAATTATATTCATGATTTCTGTTTTTAAAGGTAGAGAGAAGTTAGCAGAGGAGTGCTATCAGGCGAGAGATTTTACTTCTCAGTATCTTAATCTTAGAAATGATTAGTGATGTGTGCTTGGAAACAGTAATGTAACTGATTAGATATAAGTGGTCTTTGTAATTCATTCTCTAAACATTGTACTCTGCTTTTATTAATATTTAAAATATTTGACATAGGTATAAGAACAGCACTCTTGGAATCAGATGATCATACATGTCCAACATGCCATCAAAATGATGTCTCTCCTGATGCTTTAATTGCCAATAAATTCTTACGACAGGTAACTATCTTTGTATCCCTTTTCTGAAAAATTTTTTAAATTTTTTGATTGTTCAGGGGCACCTGGGTGGCTCAGTCATTAAGCGTCTGCCTTCCACTCAGGTCATGATCCCAGGGGTGCTGGGATCGAGCCCCGCATCGGGCTCCCTGCTCAGCGGGAAGCCTGCTTCTCCCTCTCCCACTCCCCCTGCTTGTGTTCCTGCTCTCGCTGTCTCTCTG